TTTTTTTTTTTTTTTATTTATATATATAGGTCTTTGTTGCTTCTCCTTCTTTGTTGTCCCCGTCGCTGTCTCCTGTTTTGTCTTTGTCTTTGTCTTTGTTTTATTTTCTGTCTCCTTCTCTGTCTCCTCCTCTGTCTCCTTTTTGTTCTGTCTTCTTCTCTTTCTTCTTTTCTGTCTCCTTCTTTGTTTCATTTTCTGTCTCCTTCTTTGTCTCCTTTTCTGTCTCCTTTTTGTTCTGTCTCCTTCTCTGTCTCCTTCTTTTTTTCCCTTTTGCTTTTCTTCTCTGTCTCCTTTTTGTCTCCTTCTCTGTCTCCTTCTTTGCTTTATTCCTTGTCTCCTCTGTCTCCTTTTCTGTCTCCTTTCTGTCTCCTTTTTTGTCTCCTTTTCTGTCTCGGCCTGCACCCCCTTTGTCTTAGGCTTTGCTTCTGTCTCCCTTTCTGTCTCTTTTTTGTCTCTTTCTCTCTTTCTATCTCTTCTTCTGTCTCCTTCTTTGTCTTTGTCTCAGCCGCTGCTGCTGCTGCTGCTGCTGCAGCTGCTGTTGCGTTGTCCTTTGTTTTCTCTTGCTGTTTCTGCGTTTGAATTTCGGTTTCTCTTTCTGCTGCTACTGCTGCTGCTTTTTTTTTCTGCTGTTGCTGCTCTTGTTATTGCTGCTTCTCTTCTTGCTTCTGCTGCTGCTGCTGCTGCTGCTGCTGCTGCTGCTGCTGCTGCTGCTGCTGCTGCTGCTGTCTTTCCTCACTCTTCCCCATACACCTATTACTATAACAAAACGCCCACCAACTCCTCCCCGCGTTTCTGCTGCTGCTGCTGCTGCTGTTGCTTTTTCTGCTGTTATTTCTGCTGCTCCTGCGCTCCTTTCTGCTGCTATTCCTGCTGCTGCTGCTGCTGCTGCTGCTGCTGCTGCTGCTGCTGGTGTATAGGTTCTAGATGCAATGGACTACGCAGTGTATGCATACGACGTGGGGCATGTGGTGATAGATAACCTACAGTTTATGCTGTCTGGCCAAGGAAAAAACTTTGATGTTTTTGAAATACAAAATAACGCTATTGCTGCTTTTAGGAGATTCGCTACACATAGAAATGTTCATATTTCTATCGTTGTACACCCCAGAAAAGAGGTAATTTATATCCTTATAAATATAAATATAAATAAAAATATAAATAAAAATATAAATATAAATATAAATAAAAATATAAATATAAATATATATTATACTTATAAATATTTATTTTATTTAAAAAAAAAATAACGCAGTTGCTGCTTTTAGGAGATTCGCTACACATAGAAATGTTCATATGTATAAATATAAATATAAATATAAATATAAATATAAATATAAATATAAATATAAATATAAATATAAATACAAATTATAAATATAAATATAAATATAAATATAAATATAAATATAAATATAAATATAAATATAAATATAAATACAAATATAAATATAAATATAAATATAAATATAAATATAAATATAAATATAAATATAAATATAAATATAAATGTAAATATAAATATAAATGTAAATATAAATGTAAATATAAATATAAATAGAAATGGAAGTATGATGTATAATAAATTATAAATGTAAATTATAGATATAAATATAAATATATATTATACTTATATATATAATAAACAATAAACAGCAAACACTAAACAATAAAAAATAAAAAATAAAAAATAAATAATAAAAAATAAAAAATAAAAAATAAACAAACAATAAACACTAGCAGCAAGGGGAAGACTGAGGAATTGTCTCCTCTATAGAAATCAACTGCACACAATATGCATACGATATCCTTGCTGCTGCTGCTCCCGCTGCTGCTGCTGCTGCTGCTACTGTTGCTGCTGCTGCTGCTTCTGCTGCTGCTGCTACTGCTGCTACTGCTGCTGCTGCTGCTGCTGCTGCTGCAGGACGATGATGTTCCTCTGGGTATGTCTTCTGTCTTCGGCAGCGTGAAGTCAACGCAAGAAGCAGACAATGTTATTATATTACAGCGACAAGCAGCAAAGGCCTCAAGACACGAGCAGCAGCAGCAGCAGCTGCAGCAGCAGCAGCTGCTGCTGCAGCAGGAGCTGCAGCAACTCAGCCCCAGTAGACACAAACAACGACGCATGCAGTACTCTCTAGAAATC